AAACAGGTTTATTTTTTCTTCAGAATATAGACAAAAATCAATCCAAACCAACTCCACAGAGTTAAAAAAATAGGTTTGATTAATAAAAAAATCTCATTATATTTTTTTCATAAACATTATCGTAGCAATTACAGATGTGAATTAACAAGGCTGAAACAGAAGTGCCCGCCAACTATAACCAGACGTCGCAATTGTCACTATATAGTCACAACTACGTATAATTAAGTGTATAATTGAATAGCATCACTCTATTTAAGTCTCTCAAAGCTACACTGATATGATATGCACCACAGAGATGCACAAACGTTGACTCAGAACTGCTATACGCAACAAATCGAACTGATTATCAGAAGATTTGAGCTCACTGGCCACTGATATTCACTAATCACAAAATACTCGACGCAGAAACTGTTTAAGAACTTATTGATGTTTGGAAACATTGAATTTTAAAATCTATATTTAAATGATTCCAATTAGTATTACACCTCCTCTCAGTAACCTCTCAAGGGAAATGACCATTCTTTCTAATTAGCATGAAGAGTGATAATCATTGAAAGACGGTGTTCATTTAGACAGCTTCTGGTGATGTGGTTGTAACCACGGCAACAATTTCCGCACACTAAGTTCCCTCCTCAGACTGAGAATAACATAATAGTGTGATCGACTGTGGATGATTATTGCGTTTTCCGTTACTGGGGTTTGTTGTTCTGCAACTGTTTAAAGTAAATAAGGCATTACTAGCAATATATAATAACACCCATCTCCTCTCCGTCAAAGTCTGGTATACCACGAGATATTGTGATATCCCACAATTTGACTAGGATTATTGCTAATATTACATTCTAGGGGATCAAATTGGCACGGCGCGTGCAGAATACGTCTGAAGTAAAATTATATCATATTACTAGTTGCGATTCACCGAGTGGTAGTGTAAATTCAGTCATGCCGTATTAAAAATTACGTTTGTTTTTAAATTGTATTTCTTTGCGGAGACGTTGATAGATTTGGATGTCATCATACTAAATCTATTTTTCGAAAATTATCAATTGTTGAACAATACCGCACACATTGATTGCGAGTTGTTCCTTTTTATAACAAACTGTCTATATATCACAATGTCCACCGCGTTACTTTGTTTTCCCAGCGTAACAAAAATTAAATCCAGTTTTTTGAAAGATACTGATTTAGTATGAATATTTGATTTTCGTATACATAACGTCAAATCCATAACCCATGGACAATGGGGCATTATGCTCTATTAGCATTCATCGTTCATGGTACACTTATCTATAATATTTGAATTTGAGCAGCACGAATAAGTTATCGTACAGGAACAGAAAAAAAACTTATATAACATGTATACATAAATAATACAGTAAGAATAACAATAGACAAAGTTTGAATCTGGGAGAATTACGTTACTGGATCACACGACTCGATTAGTCGCGTTGCATGTAAATAACGCGAGGGTTAAAAGTAATTCTTTTTGTTTACTAATGAACTGAATGTAAGCCCTATACGTGTTTATTAGGTGTACATTTTACCTCTGAATGATGGCCAAAATATTTACATCTAATCACGCGTCTTTTATTTCAAGAGAGCCCACCTCATGAAATAGAACACTGTTCGAATGTTACGATTTTACTTCATGAATATCACAAGGTCTGTTTACACAATCAGATATAACAAACTTTCGAGTTGAGTACAGTTTTTGAATTAAATAAAAAATCCTATGAATATCCAATTTCCCATTATTTAGTAGTTCTTTTAAAATCAGCTACTTTGCATTTCTGGTTTCTTTGACAGAATAAATTGTTTTGATATGACAGTTGAGACAGTCACCATAAGAGGTGACAGCATTTTCATGGGGTTAACCTTACTGATGTCTCACAGTCAGATGTACTTTTCAAAGTCAGTGTTAATAAATAAATTTAGATATGATTTTTCTGTCCAAAATTGGTGTCAATGTTAACTCATAGACATTGTGTACCTTTCTTGATTGTTGATATTTTCCACAAGGTGTCCTTCTGTAAAACACGTATTATAAAGAATATTATTATTTTTGAATGGTGTAGCGCAGTGTGAACGTGTTAACGTAATTGCAGCTGATTTTCTAGTTTAGTTTGGGAAACATCAGGCATGCACAATGATTACAGAGATTTAGTTCACAATTATGCAACTGAAAGACAATGACAATATGACGGCACATTTGTTTGCACTCTGATGATGAAATCCTCAAACAATATCATGTATGTGATGCCACAATGTTAAAGATAATACTATTAATATGTGACTGAATGTATTGGAGGCAGCGACTGAAAAACAAGTTAAAACGTTTCAGTTCTAATTTATATCACAACATTTATATTTCGGAGAGAATGAAAAGCAAAACAGAATTAATTAAAATATCAAATTAGCATATATAATTATTCCGAATTAAACATTGCATATGCATGTTTTCTGGCCGAGGTCAAGTATTTGTTAACCAAGTTTAATTTAATTTGACTGAAATAGTGCAATGTATCAAATAAAATCACACAATTGAAAACGTAAATTGTCATTGATACACTTTAGGAATACATGTATGTATATAAACTGCTTTTTGTCATAAAATGTTATGTTCGGCTACCGTGTCAGGCAAAATGTGGGGTTACTGATTTCCGACAGAATTATCCGAATATTTAAGAAAGCATTGCGGAGATAATCAGCTACTGTGTTAGCTATCAAATCAGAATTGAAAATTCGCGCAGCGTGTTCGAATTTCGTGTAAACAAACAAACAAACAAACAAACAAACAAGACGTCGCATGGAACACATATCGAACACAACACGGTATGTGGACTGGGACACATTCAGTAAATCTGAGAATAACCTTATAGATGTTCGATACAGTTTCTCTTTTGCGATGTACGCAGAATAGGGCGCACAGTCCCTGCTGTTCAAGGTTATTATTATTATAATTTGAGCTTATTACGAGGTATCTTCGTAATAACCTTATCATTATACATCTTTTCTTCTAAGGATACATCATGGGAATGCCAAAATTCAAAAAGTTTAGAACATAATCAGCGAACTCCCTTGCGTTATTGTTAGAGGACGCTCACGCGCGTAATCATTCCATATTTGGAATTCGCATTTCCTAATATGGTAGAATGAAAATACCCCGTGAAATACCACAAAATTACGGCACGCTGTAACGCTGTGACAGATGTATAATAATAGTATATAACAGCATAATCTCCAAGTGTTCAAACAATAAAAAAAATCTAAATGGATTTTGTAAAACTATATCGAACATATTGCATTGTTTAAACTATTCGTCAATTAAAAGAAAGTGTATAGGGGCCCGGTACTCTCAAATCATTCGCTACTCAGTGTAGGCAGCGATCTTGATGCATACATATTTACAGTCATTCATTCATTCTTTCATTCATTTACTACTTCAGATACTTGAAAATGCCTTAGCATCGTATGTTTAGACGATATACATTTCGGAATGATTTAATTAAACAATTAACAACTGGCTAATCATTGCAACTCGTCATCTAACTCGTTTTCATCAAGTTCAGATCCATAACACAAGACACAATACAATTACACTAGCGAAAAACGAATGAACAACTCATACAATTTAATTAGCATGCAATTCACATTTCAAACTTTAATTCATTTATCAAATTACGTTGTACTCACATATCAGCATGTTAATTCGTTTACTGTACTACCCAAAGCTCTTGAACTGTCTTTGTCTCGTGGAAAATCGATGGGGTTTCTTAACCATTATATTGTTCAACTTCAATATCAATATCAAACACAAAGTGAAAAATACATTACAGACCAACTAAACTCACAGCCTGGTACATTAAAATTTACGTGCTGTTATTGAATGTTGTTTTAGCTATACATTTAGTTAAATTAGTAAATTGGATGGTGTATTTTATTAACCAGTTCGTCGCATCTCACCGTGTAATTTCTTTTTTATTGAATCCATTGGGCGGTGTCTGAGAGTTCAACACAGTAAGACTATAACAATACAGTATAGTACTCAAAACGGCGCAAATGTTGGCTTTTTAATGTCTCGCGTGTAACCAACTATACAAAACATACGGCTGTCGTGTCTGCGAGTAAGTATCTTTAAACATTCGTTGAGGCACCGGAACACCGTCGACGTAAATTTTGGATATTCAACTCCAGCGGAAGCCTTGATGTGGGTTTGCAGAATGCTATCCGTTTTTAAATCACTTTAACGTCAAAGGCGCAAGAAATAAATAAATTTTAATTCACCCAGAAAATCTTGTCATTCGCTAAAAGAGTGGTGCCACCTTTCAGTTTTACCGTGAGCAGAACTCACGCACCGGTAGAGCAGCTTGGGTGAACCATAGACCCTAAAAATCAGGATTGGGTTCGATGATGTTAAAGATCAAATAATAAAAAATGTGTCATCACAGTACATGTGGTTAGGGTCTTTATACATGAAGTAACATTGGCTCAGGTTAACACTCACTGTACTTTAGGTAGCTCGCCATTTCAAAAATACTTGTTTTTCATCGCAATCTCTCTCTCAAAAAGATTGTAATTTTCTGGTCTTTAAATTTATAGTATATTGAGTGCCAGTGTAACTTCGTACGTTGATAAAAGTGTTACTTGTATATCAATGACGAATCTTTCGGATGTATTTCGAGTGAACCATGTGATTGAGGCGCCCTGGTTGAACAGAATCATAACACGTGCATCCCGGGATGTGAAGCCATATAAGAAAATTTATCCAACTGTTCGGGCTACGCCTCGCTGCAATACACACACTACTATACACTGCATTACACTATCCAAATCGGCGAACATCGTGACTAAACTCTGTTGAAATGCCAAATTATTTGTTGCTGTCATTCATAATAACAGTCATAATAAATAACAATTGAATTTACTTGGCTGAATTGATGCAACATTTCGTAATTTAAACTCTGATTTCGTTCCTTGTTGCCAGGTTTTAGCGTGTTGCAATGGAGTGTGGATTGGAACAGAGACCCCTCCTCTTCTTCAGTCGGGAACACGTTGATAGTGTTCTGTACGGATGTGTTCGTAACAACGGAACAGCCACGGCGCATTCCCTGTCTGGACTGAGCTTTCCAAATGATGGTAAGTGATTGAAACTCAAACAGTCGTGTTTGCTACCACGGTAGAATATGGTTATCAAAGGCAGCCGCACGAAATTTTGCATGGGGCCCTTAGCGCCCCATAGGCGCAATGGGTCGCGCATTTTTTCGAAGTGGGTAGCGACCTTTGATTTCTATCTCATTGTAAGATTGTGTACCCGATGAAGCGCTGACTTCAGAGCGAAACTTTGCAAAAATACAAAGAGTAAAGCAAACAGACGTAGTTTTTTTCATATTTTACCTGTTATATCTGGTCGACCTGTTTATTTTTATTTCACCTCTTCAATCATTCTAGTGTCACTTACTGATTAAATGAAGACGGCAATTTAAAAGAACTCACATTATAATGTTTCATTATTTTATGCTACTTTTCTTCATAGGTTTTTCTACAGCTGATAGGTCGAAATATTTTTGGTCGCGTGGGAAAGTCCCCATCAACGGAAACACAAGTATTTTTGACAAAGAACATCTCCATGTTTCGTCGTTGGATGTACCAGAAGGTAAGAATTGAAGAATTTATTTATTTATTTATTTGTTTTCATGCTGAATCAACTACAAAGTTTTAGAGAAAATGTCAGTATTTTTGACAAAAAAGGTCCGCCAAAAATATCTACTACGAACGTACTAAGGTGGTAAAATACAATAAGCACAATGTATACTACATTAAAGACGTATATCCTCGTCCCAGGCATAAAATACAAATGAGACGATTATTATTTATTACATTCATTTATGTATCTGGTACATTTTTTATTTGTGTATTTCCAGGAGTCAGTGTATTTTGGACAATTGTATGCGGCACGGTACATTATGGTGTATTCTGCCAGCATAATGTAATACCCAAAGGAACACGATTTGGACCGTTCATTGGAAAGATAGTCAACACGAGCGAGATTAAGACAAATGACGACAATTCACTTATGTGGGAGGTACGTATGTGTTATCATTGCCCCAAACTTACCAAGAACTTTGATTTCTCAGCACAGTAACCTGAGAGTTATACATCTTAGCTCATTGGTATGATATGATATGAATTTTATTCAGTACAATGGCCTCAGGCCTATGGTACAATAAATCAAAAAAAAGAATAGAAAAATACACACATAAAATACATAAATAGCTCATTGGTTATACCATACAATGCAATGACAGAAAGCGCAAGTTGCAAAACAGGGAGGAGGATAGTGCCTCTGTTTAGTTCCAGTGAATGTCCATGTCTCTTGATGCGTTCACGTGGCTTGCCATGTTGTACATTGCACACCGAAATCAATAGTTGTAAATATAATTATAGTATATCTTCTCAATAGACAATGTAAAACAAATCGGAATTATGTTCTAAATATCAAGCCACAATTCGAAGACGCTTATTCTGTGCTACCTGTTGTCACAAACATCGCTATTCCGTATTAAGAATTTGGACTATGTCTTAAAAACGGACAAGATCTAGCTCAGACTAGCTGTTCCTCTGTACTAATAGTTCGCGCCGATTACTAATATTAAGGGATGACTTGTTTGACCTTGTAGCTCATGCTGAAGAAATATGCGTGACAAAATAAACTTATGAGACTTAACAACAACAATATCTTAAAGAGAAAAACAAAATCAATACGATAGTGGTTTCTCTATTCTTTGTCTTGTACTTCTTTCCCTCAGATCTTCACTGACGGGAAGCTCAGTCATTTTATAGATGGACGTGGTACCACAGGGAGTTGGATGAGCTACATCAACTGTGCGCGATATGCGAATGAGCAAAACCTAATAGCACGACAGGAGGATGGGCAGATTTATTATGAGGCCTGCCGAGACATACGGCATGGGTCGGAGCTTTTAGTCTGGTACGGTGATTCCTACATTCAGTTTATGGGCATTCCAGTTTCACTAAAATATGTAGCATCGACGTCAACGAAAACGACAGAAAACACAATCGGTAAGTCATTCTGTTAATTTTATTTGGGAGGAGATACTCGCCATATCAGCTGGTGCTATAACCGTTTCACGGAAACGAGGAAACGACGGTTTGTTTTTAATGGTTTGTCTCTTATCCCCATTCAAGGTGTCAACGTGTAACGACCGTTCGTAACATTGATAATGTTTTATTCCGTCAATACAAATTACTTTTTTTTTCTGTTAACATATTTGTTAAATTCTCAATGACGAGCGGCAACATAAGCAAACTGGATTGTCTATTTGACTAATCTACGTCATTTGGACATCATCTTAGCGCTTCGTCGTCAGAAGGTACATGAGCCCCGTTTCACGGAAATTTGGGAGTTTAAAATTAACACGGCGAATAACTATAGTCGTATATTGATCAGTATCAACGATGGTGTCTAATGCATTCATTGTGTAATCCCAGAAACTGACAGATTTGTACAAAAATGCTTAACATTAGATCGCCACATGCGACGTATACAAGGCATGTAAAGTACTAGTGCATTGTGAGTTTACTCGAAATTCAAACGCATTTTAATTTCTTGAACGAATAATAGTTTTATTTTTGCTAGGAAATATTGTCTATGCGACGGAAGCCTGTTACAAATATCTATCAGAGTGTTTTTCTCGTTTCTTGCAGATTCGGCGGGTTATAGTTGTGAACGTTGCGGGAAAGTATTTACATACGGATACTACCGTGACAAACATCTGAAATATACACGGTGCGTAGACCAAGGAAATCGCAAATTTCCATGTCATCTTTGTACTCGTTCATTTGAGAAGAGAGATCGACTCAGGATACATATACTGCATGTACACGAGAAACACCGCCCTCACAAGTGTACGGTGTGTGGGAAAAGTTTTTCCCAGGTAAGTGAACATCTTTTATTTATGACGTTTTTTATGCACATTAAGACAAGTGACAAACATGTAATCGTAGATAACTTCTATACGATGCGTATGAATGCATTGTATAAGTTTTATTTCCCTTCCTCCAGACGTAGACGTAAATGTGAATGAGTTCTTGTAGGCATGCTTTGAGCAAGTAATTTATAGTTTTAAAGCGGGAGAGTCGTCACCTGCGCACGCGCGGGAATTGAGTCTCAAGCGATGATAACAACACACGCTAAAACGCAGAGGCTCATGGGTAGACGCTTGTTTGACAATATTGACACGCTATGACCATCTGACGCATGCACAGAGGACGACTCCTTCGCTTTAATAATCATTTTGTTTGATCAATAATAACAGTTTACTCTTGTCATGGAATTGCGTTATTGGAGAAATATAATATATAAAGCTGATAGCCATGTGGCGTCTCTCTTTTTCATTTTTATTATGGATTAGTCCTGGGCTAGAAATTTATTTTATTTCCGATATTCAAATAATTGTGAAATGTAAACGCATATTGTTGCGTCAACGCGACCTCTGATGTTATATTAGGGACAAAAACATCATGCTTAGTTTAAATTATGACATTCTATTTCGCATAACATTGTTGAGAATAACGCCCTCAAGCTTCTCTGTCGTCAAAATGACATACATAGTAGTTTTGTTGCGTGGTAGTTTGTTATTTTGAATATATATATATATATCTTCTAAAACATTATAGTTTATATTTATTGTAAGGCGACTACAGATAATTACAATATCAATGCCACGAACAGCATTCTTTTCACCTATTTACGTCACGGAATTGCTTGGCGCTTGAGGGCGCGACTTATAAACATGATTCCGTATAAATGACCAAACCCTCTCTATTTCTTCACCATTTTAACTTTATTATTTGTTTGTATTTGTTACAGTCTTCAAGCTTAAACAAACATATGCGAGTCCACAGCGGAGAAAGACCTTATAAATGTGTGTACTGCAGTAAAGCTTTCACAGCTTCCAGCATTCTTCGGACACATATCCGTCAACACAGTGGAGAGAAACCGTTTAAATGCAAGCACTGCGGCAAGGCGTTCGCCTCGCACGCCGCTCATGACAGTCACGTGAGAAGAACGCACATGACGCGAGACCCGCGCTTCGTGGCGTGTCAAGTTTGTGGGAAAAGTTTCAGCGAACCTTATGAGTTGAAATTCCACATGAATATGCATATGCACAGCGGACAGACAACAAGTCTTAATATTCCCAGCATTCAAGAAGCTCATATAACGTCATAAAGAAGACAGCCTCGTCCCCGGGTATTATAATATAACAATAGTTCAAGCCAAATCAACATACAATCCATGGGCTGGAGGAGTCTTATCCCCTATACCCACAATTTTTGGTTACTTTTTTGTGCTGAACAAGAAAAAAGATGTTAACATTCACCAATTTTGCATCTTATTTGCATATTCTGATCAAAATACGTGTTTATTTAAAAAAACAATTTTAAATATATATTAAGTAACCAAAATTCAACTAATCGGCACAATATGTAGAATTATGACTAATTTTTAAAATTATTCAAGTTTTAATGACAAAAATCGTATGCTGTTATCGACTTTCTAAAAACAAAACAAGAAGATTTTAGCCTGGTTACCAGTGAACCATACATGTTAATGACTCAGAGCTGAATTCAAAGATTATTATTAGTCTTCAAGGTGTTCATTAAGTTCTATAATGGGAAAATGTTATTTAACATTGATCATGTTTTAATGGAACCTACTTAATTATGAATATCAAGGTTCAAAGAATCGGCGTAATGGTATTATTATTTTGATATTTGTTCATTTCTTATTCAACAAACATCATGTGATATATCAAATGTAAAACATTTTAATGTGCAATTTTATTCTGAAATAAAAACCATAGATTGGTAGAAGACCTTTATGAAATTTGTTTTTTTATAAATTACTCAAACAAATATATGTAATGTATTCATGCTTTGTTGAAAACAAATGTGCTATAGGTCAACAAAATGTATTATTCATTCATAAATGTATTCTGAAATATTTAAATTTGGACTCACCATTTTAAATTTCCACCAAACGTCTTCGACTATCGTGCTAACTTCCTCCACTTCCCAATCGATTTTCAGACTTTTCAAGCAACGTTCGTACTTCGGCACTGCATATTGGGTGTAGCTATACATTTGATTGTGATCAGAGGGATCCGGCCCTAAAAATTAGCTAGTACTTCCTCATTTGGCATGTGATCGTTCAAGATATTCGGAGAATTCTTCTATGAAACCACATTCCAACTAATTGTAATCTTTTTTTCTCATAGTCCCTGATATTGTTCAACATTCACTGTCGTAGGTGA